TATTGCAGAGGGCCTGGGTGCAGGGCCCTGCTGGGAGCTGCAGCCACAGCTCAGAGCAGGCCACAGAGGAGAGAGGGGAAGAGAGGATGAGAGGGTAAGAGAGCAAAAGCATAAGAGAGTAGGAGGGGTCAGAGCTAAGAGACAAGAGCTAAGAGAGCGAAGTTCTCGTTACAATACAATAAATCATCTTCTGCGTTGAATATTCTGATTCTCACTAACCAATCTAGTACAATATACAAATCCTATAGCATTTCCATACAGCCTATAAGAATCACTACATTACCACACTGTGCTATATTTTCAACCCTAAAAACTCCTCTTTGGGCCCCTTCTGCCAAGCTGTAGGGTCTGCTCTGACCCTTGGGCCTGTCTGCAAGCAGAGGGTGTTGTTCCATCAAAAGGGGATTTCCTTCAGCCAGCCACACCATTGTTTTCCCATTGTTCATTAACTAAAGGATCTCACATCTTGCTTTCATTTCAATCTTGCTTATAGTTTCTATATTCTAAAAATCTTTTGCCAGACAATCATATTTATAAGGCTTTCCTGTTTCATCTTCCCCAGCACTCCAGGAATCTATAACTCATTCCCAGGAGCCACCTGGGAGCTGCTGGGATCTCCAGGACAGCAAAATAACAGAACTATGGAAAAATGAGAGGGGCCTTATCTTCCAGAGAAGAGCATAGTGAGATGTAGAGCAAGACAAGAAGCAGATAAGGCACCAGGAGCACTCACAAATCCACTGACCTACAAAGTGTGAGATGCCTGAAAAGCACTGATAAATTGGGCCTTCATCAGTTTTCCTCCTGGTTATCTGATTTATGCAGATGCAGGTAACACACTGCTGAGGGCCCAGCTCCCAGCACAGAGAGAATGAAAGACACTGCAGTGCCTTAATGAGGGAATATTCTTAGAGCAGATCCAACTGAAGTGCTAAAAGGATTGCACAAATGATCTTCCCAGATTGCTGGTGGGGAATTGGGAATTATCACATTTAAAAAGAGAAAATTGAAAAAGAAGAGATAAAAATAAGGTTTTAAGATATTATTAAAGAAAGATGAACCACACCTCAGAAGGCCCCTGACTGGGTTTCCTTAGCAGCTTGGGCTGTCTCTCAAGAGAAGCACAGGGAGCAGCAAATTTTTGAGAAGTCAAATGGACAAGCCTAGATGTTTAAAAATCAAAAATCCATCCTTTTTTTTTTGGAGCATCAAGCTTAACCCTACGGATTTTATTTTCCTTACAGAGTAAAACAAAAGTAAGTGTATACATCTCCCAAGAAAAATCCTCTGCCAATCCCTCCTTAGGAATGAAAGCATGCAAAGACAACAAGCACTTTACTTTTTCTATTAAAAATGCTTTCATTGCTGCTCTTTAGGTGGTAAACATACAGTTGGGATTGGCACAGGGTGGCTGTCCCATCCCTGGAAGTGTCCAAGGCCAGGTTGGATGGGGCTGGGAGCAATCTGGGACAGTGGAAGGTGGCCCTGCCCATGGCAGAGGGGTGGAATCAATGATCTTTGAGGTCCCTTCCAACCCCAACCATTCCATGATTCCATGGTTCCATGGTTCCATGGTTCCATGATTCCATGAACTACAGAGCAGATTTTATCTGCAATGCCACAGAGGCTTGGGTAGCTCAGGATTTTCAGTCCTTCCCCCTGCTGAGGTGCAAGGCTTCATCTGTGACTTCATCAACTTCCAGAGCATTGCTCCACTTGGAACAGATTTTGTATTTTTAAAGCAGAAAGCCAGAATAGTAAGAGATCACATTTTTCACATTAGTTTGCAGCAGGGCACATTAGTATGTTGAACACTCATGTCTGGAGCTACAGTTTCTATAGTTACTCGTGCATCAGGGTTTCACTGAACTACTGCAATATTCATTCTACAGCAGCTCTGCTCCCCCCTTACTAGAAGGAGAGGTTTGTAAGAGAATTTGTGGTGAGTTCCTCTCTTTGTGTGCACTTTTAGATTTCTCAGAGCACTCTCTTAACTGACAGAGTGTTACTTGGTAATGAAGCAGGCGAGATGTAACACCTCGGAAAATTTGAATTTAATGTGAGATTCATTCTTCTGTGCCTCTCTAGGAAACTGGATGGAGGGTTCCTGGCTGGAGAAGACATGCAGCACCTCATTAGAAGGAGCAGAATGGTCTCATTTTCCTCTTCTAAAATTGCTGCTTGCAGGTCAATATCAAAACTTGGGGGAAGACAAAATTCTGGCATTTATTCTGTTCTAAAGAAAATTATTTGGCAAGAGAAAATGCCAGCCCATTCTGCTTCCTCAAATTCCCTGGAACTGTGTGAAGGAAACCCAGCTCTGCTCCCTGGCAGAGCCACAGCCACCCCTCACACCTCCTGGCCACCCTCACATCTGCTGGTAAAACACACAGATTTCCCTTAACCAACCACTCCTCATTTTTCTCTTTGATATTAAAGCAAGTTAGATAAATTATTAATTATGAGCCTGACCCAGAGACCACTGGGCTCAGTATAAGGTTTACCATGGAGTTCCACCTAGGCCAAAGCACCTGGAATTATTCCCATGCCCCAAACTAAAATCCTTTTAACTTCAGGAGAATCCAGGCAGGCTTGTCTCAGAGTGAGGTGAAAGCATCAGGCTAATAGCAACCCCAATTATAACATCTGAAGAAAGAAAATCAAACTATAAAAACTTCCCTTTTTATATGAATGACAGCTCAGAGAAGGGAATGGGAAGGGAATGCTTGAAATATGAATTTACCAGCTTTTTGTAGAAATAATACAGCTGCTCTGTTTGAACCCTCACCTGTTGCACAGCTTTCTAAGTACAAATTGGGTATTTCCCATGGAGTAATGTATGACTAGAAACATTATTCATAGATAGATAGATACATACATACATACAGATTTTACTTTTGGACCTTATTTGGATCTCATGCAAGGTATTGTGGTTTTGCTGCTGCAAAGCTGGAGCGCAGTGCACGGACTGGATTTCTGTGATTTCCACAAAGAACACAGGGATGTGCTGGCCGTGGCACCGAGCTCCATTGCCATCTAGTGGCACCTTCCCAGCCCACCTGGCCCTGCACAAACCCTGAGGGGCTGACCCTCGGAAAAACAGGGGTTCATCCTTTTGCTGAAATCACATCATGCCAATCATCTTCTGTTTGGTTGGTGTTTATTTTTTTTTCCTGTGCTATATGAAGCTAAGTATGCAAAGTGAATTGTCGGTGTTTGCTCCCATTCCTGCCTCTGGCATGAAGGCAGAGAGATGCAGGGATGGGGCAGGGCAGCCAAAGGATGCAGGAGTTGGGACAGGGTGGAATGAGCCACTCCTTCACATCCAGGCGTAGGAGACACTGAGGGTAGGAGGCTCTGCACAACCATCTGTGTGTCACTCACAGCTTTTATTTACTGGCATTTCAAAACCTCCAGGAAGCTTCCAAACAAACTCCTCAGCAGAGAGAAACGGCTCATTGACTGCCTGGGATGCTGCCACGATAAATGCCATGCAGTTCCTGCTGCCTGCCCTGCCCCGGGCTCTCATTTGTGTCATTTCCTCGCGGCTCTGCTCAGCGCCGACCCCGTTTGTTTGCAGTCCCCAAGGGTGTGAATGGCACTGAGCCAACCACAGGTGACACTCAGCTGCTGATCTTCACTCACCAGAGCAGGGCAGCCACTCCATGGCTTCAACAGGGCTGGGCTGTCGATGAAGAAGGGAAATGATTCTTCTTCCCCCTCAGGTTTTGTGTTGCTGAAATGGCTCCCGAGATATTAAAAGTAGAAGTCGAGATTCCTCAGCTCTGCTTTTCAAGGTTGTTTATTTTTTATCTATGACATTCTTTCTCTGACCTGCTGAGATCTGTCCGGCAGGTCAGTTCATGGCACACTGACCGCTCTTGGGGTGGTGTTAGCTTTTTATACTAAAAACTACATGTACTTTATTTACAATAATTTTCCAATACCTATCACCTATGTTATAGTCTAAACCAATCCAAAAGTGTCACCATCACAGCAGAAGATGGAGGACAAAAAGAAGGAGGACAGGACACGCCCAGATTCCTCCATCTTGCTTCTTGAAGCCCCATTCTAAATCCCCAAAATTCTACTGTTTCCCCCTGTGATAAATTAACTATCATTCTGCTCCAACTCTTGTAGCTTGTAAATCCTCACACAAAGTTGTTAATTGTTTCCATGGGTTAAAATCAAAGGCACAGGTGTCTCTGACTCCTTGCCAAGGTCTCTGAGCTCTCTGTCAAGGTCTCAAGTCATCCAGGGCAGCCAGAGGAATGTCCTGGGTTGCAACACTTCCCCAGCAGCCACAAACCTCTTTTTGCCTCCAAATGCAGCAATCCTCTGTGTCAGGAGGAGAGGGTAATCCAGCAGGAGACACCAACTCACAGGGCCTCGATGCCACCTGTAGCCCCCCGTTTCTCTTCACAGAGAAAAGCAAGGCACAAATCTTCGCAAGAATATTTCTGGGTTTCACATTCTCTGAAGCTCAGAGAAAGGAAAAACAATTCTTGTCATTTGCTGTGCCTGTGTTTGTGCCAAAGTAGAATGCAGTATGGAGATTGTTTACCCAAAGTGATGGTGTTTTGTTTCCTTGGCCTATCAGGTGTGTGTGTGTTGGGACTCTTGGGGGACAGTCATGAGATTCTGGGCAATGTGTGCAGAGTTGAGTGCTTGGAAGATTCAGTTTAGATGTAATGTAATATAGTATAGAAGAATATAGTATAATAAGGTAATTAATCAGCCTTCTGGTAAGATGGAGTCAGATGCATCATTCTCTTTCCCATTGTCAGGGGTTCCCTGTGAATTCCACAGTCACCTGGTGCCTGAAGCTCCTGTAGCCATGAGGGGCCTTATTAATGCTACAAATGAAACACAAACCTGAGTTCCAACCTTCCTCCTCAGAGATGCCACAATGGCCTTGCAGCAAATGGCACCATGGATACACCCCTGCCAAGAACTGCAGCTGGGAAAGGGTGACAAGAGATGAAAAACACACACACAAGTACCTGTGAAAGAGTGATTATATTTCTATGCTTTTATAGCAATATAATACTTCATATCAGATTGGAAAACATACTTCCAAATATTTTAAATTACCTGTACACCTAAACAGCCTGGTTATGGAACAGGAATGCCATGTTGCTGCTTACTAAAATCCTTGAATTGCCAGTCCCACAACAACATAATAAATGCCCAGAATCCCAGGAGCTTTTGTTTAGCTCTGAAAACAACACACTCAGATAAAGCTCATTTTATAAACACTAAAATTGCATTGCAATATCCATGTATATGTATATATATATATATGTATATGTATATACACCCATACATATATATATATATATATGAAGAAAAAACTTCTAACTTTCATAAATACATCATACATAAAATCAGCTCCCAAAATACATTCATGCATTTGCCCATCTAAGATCCCTGCTTGTACCCAAGGTGTCTAAGCTGGGAAGGGCAAGGCCTGGAGACAGGCTCGTGCTTGCAGGTGGCTCCAAACCCAGGTGAAGGTGTTGGGGCAGGGCTGGGGTTAAATCCTGCATCAGTGGGTCTAATCCTGCCTCCCTAGAAAAACAGGGCTCTCCTGCATGCCCCATCAAAGCTGCACCAGCTGCCCATCCACAAGCACCAAAAGCCACCATCCATCTCGCCCTTATCACTTTTAGTTTTTCCAGCAGCTACTAGAGATAAAAACAGAATCATTGAATGGTTTGAGTTAAAGATCATTTTGTTTCAATTCCCTGCTGTGGGCAGAGGCATCTTCAGCTTAATGGTGAAGTTTTGCTCAAAACCCCAGCCAAGCTGGCACTGAGCAATTCCAGGGATGGGGCAGGGGGTGCACAGTGTGTCCCAGCACTCCTCAGGGGCTGGGAAACAAGGGTTTGGAAGCAGAGAGCTCACCCTGTGGCTTTGCTGGAAGGGGATCTGTGAATGGAAGAAGCTGCTCTCCTCCACTGACCTGAATATCAACTCCACTCCCAGCAGCACCATCCCTGCCTGCAACAGGAACACTCTGAGGGTCAGTCCTCTGCTACTGAAGGAAGCAAATGCCCATCCTGTGTCCCTCTGTGGAAGCATAAATACACAGAATATACAAAAACATCTACAGAGCAATTCTGAGTGGGAGCTGGCGGGAAGGAAGTGCAGTTGTGCAGCTCAGGGCTGCAGGTGCTGTCCTGTGACCACGGTGACACCAGGCAGGATTCCAGGGGCTCCCTGTGCCCCCCTGGGCATGCACCTGCACCCTGTGGCTGTGCAGACACTGCACACCAAGCACCAGCCTGGCCTGATCTCCACTCAGAGGGCAGCCAGACTCACACGTACCCCAGTTCTGCCCCTCAGAAAGGTCCTGATCCATATTGCAAGAGAACATTCAAAGGTCGTTTTGGGAACGCTGCCCTCTCTCCCTGCAAGAGTTACAGACCAGCATCCCCCTTCCACAAGGCAGACCCACCCCTCAGGCTACTGGTCTAGAGACAAACTAAATTCATTCCAACCTTCCTGTTTACCCAAACCCACTGTCTTTACAGAACAACCCAAGATAAACATTGCATAGATCTGTATCTCACGCCTTCCCACGCCCAGCAAACAGCAAGAAGTTCAAGTTTTGCACAGTACATTACAAAAGGCATCACTTTTAAACAACACAAATAAAAAAACTGAAGTGTCACCACGGTGTAAACCCTGCCATCAGTGAGGCAGTGAGTGTACAGTGCTTGGCAGCTCTGGGAATGGCTGCCTGTAGTGTACTGATGGATTTGCTAATCAAATCTCCTCTCCCAGTAATAGGAACTTGCATAATGAGAGGAGCTGCTCCTGAACAGAGTGATTCTGTGTGCCGTGGGAAGGAGGAGGACACTGCCAGGGCTGTCTGCTTTGCATGCAACAGTTCAAGGGCCAGTGACCCCTTTGCAGTGCAGACTGCAGAACAGCAGTGCTCCTCCCCAGCTTGGAAGTCCCAACAGTTGTTTTGCTACAGTTGGCTTTACAATTGAGATATTCAATACAGTTGGCCCAGATCCTCTGGTGATTTAAACCCCACATGCTCCATTGGAGTTACCAGTGATTACTTCCACAAGTGGAGAACGTGGTCCTGGCTTGTCACAGACACAGAATAAAGCTACAGTAGCCCTTTCTTTAAATAAAATTAAATAACTGCACGTGGCACCAGCGCACAACTTTAAATGTGCTTCTGCTGTTAAGAAAATAGCAAAGCACACCAGTGGTCACTTAAATTATTTATCTTCAACTAAAAAAAGAATAAAAATTTAAAATATTACTGTTGATTTAAAAACCCCTTGGGAAACTGCATAATGTCTTCTTGTGGTATTTCTCAGTTTGAAAAAGTCTCTTGCATGTGGACAGCACTATATATCCTCTGCAGCTGGCAGTGAAGGCTTGTGCTCCTGGAGGTCTCTGCTGCCACGTTCAGATGCATCCAAGCTGCCTGGAGGTGACTCTGAAGGTGGGGGTTTGTAGAGTAAACAGGCCACTATAAAGAAGGTTGTCCCGAGCACCTGCAGCCATGGAGACACCTCATTACTCTCTGCTCTCCCCCAAAACCGCCCCACATCTGCAATGAGCTTTGCTGAACAAGCTTTGGGGAGAAGGAGATGTTGGCCAGCCTGGCAAGCAGAGCAGCACTGAGAGCCAGAGGGGTAAAAATCTGAACTTAGCCAGCCCCATAGAATGGGAATTTGGAAAAGTTCAGCCCCACACAGACACCTGGAGCACAGTGCTGCATGAGCCAATGCTGCCTCAGCCTTTTGCTGGAAGGCTTTTGAAAACCCCTTTATCACAGCAGCTGCTAAACACTACTATCTAGGGCAAGTGCTTGTTTGGGAGCAGTTAAAATGATGGTTTTCTGCTAATAAATAAAGCCCACAGCTCTAAGCTCTCTTATTTTCTAGCAGTGACTGGGGAATGGTTATTTACAGCCTGCCCACAATGCCATCCCTCACTCTCACTAATACACTGCACTTGGATATTTTACTCCATTTCTAGCAAAAATCACTTTGTTTGCTGTTGGAAGGAGGTATTTCATATGGTGCAATAGAAGCTGTAATCCTAGAAAATAATGGGAATTTAACAGAATGATGGTGTCTGGAGCACCATTACCTGATGAGAAGCTACCAGGGCTTTTGCCTTCCCTGAGAAATTTCTTGTGTGAAAATTTAATTTTGTCTGGGAGTGGGCCAGATCAGGGCAACCCAATTTTGTACAATTCTTTCCTAGAGCAAAACATTATGTCCTAAAAACCTGTCTGCTTCACCAGGGAGTGGAGATAAGCAGCAGCATCACCTTGTAGACCAGTCCAGTGATGAGGGTGTAGCGGCTCATGGCTGAGTTCTGGTAAACGTAGCAGGAGCCCTGCTCCCCACACTGGTCCTGCCACAGCAGGCAGGACTTATCAATCATGGAGCCAAAGGCAATGGGGCCAGGGATGCCTCCTGTGGGCAGAGAGAGGGGACACCTTCAGTTTGGGCAGCACTTTGCAGAAAAGCACCAAGCTCTGATGATACCATGATTAAGAGAACTCATCCTGCAGCATCCAGAGCTACCAGGGATCAAAAATATGGTGGGTTTCAAGATCTGAGAGTCCAGCAGGTCTTTTGGCTGTCCTGACCTACAAACTGCACAACAGCCAAAAGACACTCACAGGAGCTTCAACACCTCTGCTCCTTTTCCTTAAAATTAGAGCACATTGGCAGAATCTTGAACCTTTGTCACCTGTGACCTGTTATGGAACCCTCCAATCAGTTTGCAAATCACATGCAAAGGGATTTAGGTTGTCCTGGATGAGAGCAAAAGGAAGAAAGCATCCTCCATTTCAGCAGCGTGTGTCCTACTCCCTTCTTTTCCAACCCAGTGTGTTTTATTCCTGGGTGACAGAACCACCAGGCCTTTTTGGTGTTCAGATTCCCTCTGCTCCATACCTAAGGTTCGTACCACAATCCACTGGATCCCGAGTGCAAAGGACCTTTGTCTCTCAGAGACACACCTGGGGAGAAAAAGGGGTTTGTTTAAAAATGCTGCCAGGCTGCATCACCTCCCTGCTTCACAACTCCAGGTCCTTGAGTCCAGCACACCTGGGACCTCCAGCACACCTGGGACCTGCGGCTCACCTGGGACCTCCATCCCTCTGGAGATTTAGGGTCACCCCAGTGCAGTGTCCCTCCACCCCTGCTGTCAATGTGTGCATCCCATGTCAGAGGACAAAGCTTCCCATGCTGAAATTTCCTTTCCTAGCTAGACTGGGATAGGAATTAGTCCTGATGTCTCCAGGCTGCCAACTCAGTGGTTCCCATCACACCTTTCCCATGCTTGATCCAGCAGGAAAAAGCAGAGAGGAGGATATTGAGGCTTCCTGCAGTGCTGGCAGAGGACAAGGCCATCCCTGCTTACCTCAGAGTGGCAGTCAGGGCAGGAATGCTGCTCAGGAAGGTGAAGAGGATGACCACAAATATGAAGCACAGGAGCAAGGGCTTTTTGGCACAGGAGGAGGTGCATTTCCCTGCCTCTGCTTTGCCAGAGCCAGGCAGGAGGGCTTTGTCAACACAGCTGCACTCTTGGTAGACCTGGGAAAGAAAGGCTGGTGGGGGCTCTGCTGAGGAGAGCAAGGTGACAGTCAAAGCTTTAAAAATAAGAAATTCAGGGAGGGCAGAAAGCAGCTGGTTAGACTCCCAGAATGAAGTGGAAATCAAGCTGCATTTTTGACACACCTCTGTTTCCAAACAGGAAAATCAAGCAAGGGAAATTAACTCTGCCAGGCAGCTGAGTATCACCTCTACCCTCCCTAAGCCTTTGCCTGACTCCATGAGCAACATGCTGGAAGGATGAGGAGCTGCATCATGTTCATTCAAGACCCTAAAGGAGCACTAGGACAGAAATCAGGGGCTTACCAAGCTCCCTGCCTGCCTGGGTGATTTTCCATGGATTTCAGCAGAGTTTGACCCAGAATGAGGCAAAGATGATTGGACACAATGAGAGAAGCAAAGCAGGGTGACCTCAGAGTACCTCCTGCCTTCATCTCACGTGGTACCTGAGAGCATCCACCCTGCCCTGCCTGATTTTGCACTGATTTGCAGCAAAGCTCAAACCCTTTTGAGCCAGCCAAATCACTCAGAGATATGCAACCACCCTGCTCATGCACAGTGCTTCCAGACCTACCTTCTTGCCATTCCTGAGGTTTACAGACACGCTTTTGCAGCCAGCGTGGCAGGGGGAGTAGTACATGATGCCATCAGTGCCGCAGACAGGGCTGTAGGTGCCGTGCAGGCAGCCACACTGGGCATTGCAGGCAGCTGTCAGATTGAGGTGCCCACCTGGCAAAGCACTGAGGGAAACACAGGAGCAGTCAGTGAGCAGCTCTTTACAGGAGGAAATGCAGAGAGGAAGGGACAGTGGGAGTTGTGATGGATCCCCAGGTTTGGAAAGGCTTTCATCCCACTAAATTTTAACCACGCCCTGGAACTGTCTCTTCCACAGTCACCAAGGGAGTTTAAGTGACCAGCTCTTAGGGTCACACTTCCATTCAGAGAGGAGATTCCCACTTTTGGTCCAGTTTATCCCACTGGAGAGAGATGGGGGCTGCTGCAAAGGCAGCTGAAGGGTGGAGTATCCCCCACTTTGGTGCTGCTGATCTTCCCTCCCTTACTAACTAGGGAGCCTCTTCCATAAACTCCATCTCACTGCAAAACTCGGAACATCTATTTTCTGTGTCTCACACTCTGGTGTGAGACACCAACTTTCACCCCCAACACACCCACATATAACTGCCACCAGCACTGTATGTTTGAGTTACCCTGTTCTGATCAGATCCCCTCAGGACAGACACACAGACAGACAGACAGGGTGGTTGTTGTTACCTTCCATCGTACATCTGGGTTACTCCTGCCATGGGCATGTTAGGGCAGTGGATAAAAAAAATGAAGATGGCCAGCAGACTTGACACTGTGCAAAGCAAACACAGCTTGATGATTCCTGAGCAGCGCAGTTTGAGTTTATTCACGAGGAATCCTCCCAGGAATGTGCCTCCCCCTCCGGCTGGCACCACCAGATAACCTGAAAAGGAAGAGGAAAAAACCGCACAAGTGAGTTTGGAAATGTCAGCAAGGAGTTTTCAGGTTTGAATACATTAATTGCAGTGTATTTTGCATATAAATGACTCCTTGCTTTCTGTGTGGCTTCTTGGTGGGAGTTCAGTGGATGTTGCTGTAGTGGGTGGTCCTGTGTAACAGCTCAGGTAATTTGGCATGAACCTGTTAAGGCAGCTTTTCCTACCCAGAGATCTTAAAACTGGCTCTTTGAGGAGTGCTGATGCTTGTTGGACACCATTCCTGGGTCTATGTTACAGCACTTAGGTGAGGATCTCCCAGTTTTTGGATGCTATCCCCCCCAGCTCTGACATCTCTCCTCAGAGGAAATGTTTACCCAATGTTTCCTGGTGATGCACTAGGAGGAATTACAATTATTTTGCCTTCCTCTAGAGGGTAACAGATGGCTACAGAAGTGACACATTTCCTCCTGATGTCAGTAGATGCAGCTCTGGAAATGCACTGGGTGTAGGTGTGCTGATAGGAAATGATCCCATCCAACAGCTGAAGGGGATAACCAGTCCATAATTAAACTGCAAAGCATCTGTCTCCATTCTAAAAGTGCTCTTCTATTTGTTGGCAAAATGGGAAAACACAGCAAAAACATGTTTTCCTTACCAAAAAAGGTGGCAGCTTCAGAGGCACTTAAACTGAACTGAGACTCCAGGAATTTGGGTCCAAAGGTGGACATCCCAGCAATCAGGGTTGCTTCAGTTGCTCCTGCTAAGCAAAGGAAGATGAAGGTGGAGTTCTTCAGAAGTAGCAGCACTGACCTGAGAAGGACAAATATATTGGAATTGAATCACTGATTTCAGGCACATTTTGATTTCAGGTCTTCCAAGTCAGAAGGATCACACACAGCATCCCATCATCCTGCAACTCTTTGAAAGGAAAAACACCAAAAGCAAGATAATTGAGGCCTGAAGGAGCTTTTCCAGTCAGGGACACAGAGTACATGTGTGTAGCTCACACTAAGGGCACCCACAACTTCTACATGGATGAATGATTTCAGCAGGAATTTTCCAACATTTGGGGTCAGGCTGAGTACTTTGTCTGTTTCAATGGGGCAATACTGAGAGGACATTACTCCTCACCAAATCTCCATCATTTCAAGGCTTTATGAGGGCCTGTTGGCAGATATCTTGGGACTCCTGACTCAACCAAGAGCAAATTTGTGCTACATCCTCACATACACACGTTACTTGTTCACCCACACTCTCAGAAAAATAACAACCTCTGATAACCAGAGATGTTTTGTAACTCAGGGGAAATACCAAGCAAGCCTTTCTATAGGGAGGAAACACCTCCAAGACACCTGAAAAACAGAAAGCAATCCTTCTGCCACAATCTAAACCCAGTTTTACTCGAAGCTTAACTGTAAATTGAGTAACTCAATTTTACTTTGACCCACTGGGATTTAGGAGAGAGCCACAGATATGCCTGAGAAATTGCCATGTGTCATTTATATGCAGATCCAGCAGAAAGGCCCTCAGGCACAGGGAATGGTCTCAATTATCTCTCACTATCTCGGATATTGGACTAAGAGGACTGACATTGATTCTCAGGGGATGTTTTGTAACCAGTTTCAAATTCTGTCCCATGACTTCCTCCTAGCCAAGCCCAGGCCAGTGCCATGGGTTATCCCATTTCTGGGATGGGCACAAATCCTGCAAGAGCCATGCCATGGGATGCTCACAGAGCAGGAAGGCACAGTCACCACCTCCTGCTCTGGTGGAAATGTGAGATCAGAGAAAACCTGCCTTGGTACGAGCAAGGGAGAGACGTGCTGAGGCTCAGAGTCAGATTTATACAACTTCACTCACATGGAGAATTTCGTTAAATCAAAAGAACAAAGAAGCTGAAAGACAGAAATGCCACACATTCCTACACTTTGATTACAGGGGGCTTTACACTGCCTAGCTCTTGGGATTAGTTTAATGTACTATTTTATTTTTCAGATTTTTTTGACTGTGCTTTATTTAGAAGCATAAATTTTAATATTTTAGTGAGAAAATCCGTGTAGATCTTGTGGCTGAGGCAGAAAACAGACAGTGCTTTCACCTTTTTACAGAGAAGAGTTGCTCCCTGCACTAGTGTGACTTTCTGCCCACTGCCCAAAAGTTACAGGCTGGACTTGCAAGTAGGAAAATGCAAAGGAACTCCTTTCAGCACTAAGAATAGGATCTACTCAATTTAATCTGTCTGAAGACAGAAGATGTAGTTGTGAGGAGCTATGGCACATAAAACCTTACCAAAGACAGCACAAACTTTTTTATTACATCAGCAGGACTTTCAACACACCCAGGAATCACCTAATTCTTGAATAGCCTTGGCAGTGCTCAGCTCTTGCAGCCAAAGGGATTTCAGGAGGCCCAGCACTGCAGAAAAGAATCCCACCACCAAAAAAGCTGAGCCTCCAAGGCATTACTGATATGGGCACACACAGGAACTCTTTCGCACATAATGGTTCCCTGAGCAGGTTGGCACCACCTGCATGATCAGAGCCTGCTCCTCTGAGAATGGTATGCTCAGAACACCCCAGATAAATGGATATTATCCAATTTTACAGCATCTGAATGGGGGCTTTTCCAGCAAAAAGTGACACCCACTGTCACCAGCACCAAGGGAACAGAGGGCACCACATGCACTCCACAGGAACACGAACCAACCTCCCTTTGTTCCATTTCATGGCTTTTCTAAGTCCCATCCTGCACCTAATCCAGGAGTGATCAGTGAAATATTGACCACAGCTCCTTGTGCTGAAGATCAGGGCTTGCCAGGCCAGGCAGTGATCCTCACAAACTCCACCCTGCAGCTTGCAGGGACAAAACCTCCTCTTGGTACAGCTCTGCATGCCCTCCCTTTGAGCCCCTCTGCTCTGACAGGAGGGGTTACTCCATGACAGCAATCATATGGAAGCAGAGAAAGGAAAATGCTGTTTTATCAGGCCTTTTCAACCCAAGAGTTAATACAGAAGTGTCTCCAGGGCAGAGGATTAGGCTGTATGGGCTCCATTCCTGTAAGCGCTCAGGCAGCACTGTGAATGCAGCAACGCATGAACCTCACTTAGAAAGGACCTGATGGCATGGAACAATATTTCATTTAATCAGTATTTCTGCTTATCTTTGTGAGACTGTTACTGCCTGTACTGTGAGAAAATGTGTGGCACACAGTCCCTGACCAAGACAAAAGGAACAGGGAGTGTCCTTTGGCCTCACCCTCCAGCCTGGTCCACGTGTCCCCAGGAGCTGCCTGCACAGATGGGATCTCCTCCTTAATGCAAGTTTCCAGAGCAGAAAGCCTTGAAGGCACTTCCCTTTCATTAATCAAAACCAGGGACCACAAAAGTCTGTTGGGTTCCTGCTTTGAAAGCACACTGAGGTCTGGACTGGTCTGAATTGATTGATACAAATTTCCACCTTTGGGGATTTATTATTCAGAAACAAGGAGAGAAAGATGCTTCTGGAGGAGGATTGTCTCTGTTCCTGCTGCCAACCAGCAGAAACAGTGGGAGCTTTGCTCCAGACAAGCAAGAAAAGCATCAAGCACTGAATATCATCCTTCTCTGCTGCCCTGTTTGTGTTGGTTTTAGTCACAGACTTATCGTTATTTAAATGCAGGTTTTGAATTCAATTTCCGTGAGGAGAACAAGCCGTGACCTCGGAAAATGGCACCCAGTCAAGAATGCCATTTAATAACAGCACTGAAGTCTGTTCAGTGTAATATTCTTCATACAACTGCCTTAACCCCTGGTAAACTTCCTACAAAGTCTCCAAGCAGTTCAGATGGGTGTGAGTCGTTGTGTTGACACAACACAGCTCGACTGGTGCAGAATATTCCTGTTCTGAGCACCTGTTCTGCCTCCATCCTCCGCTGCCAGCACAACAAAGAGCACAGCTAATGCTCAGAAGTGATTGTTGGCAGCAGCCTGGGGTTTAGCAACATCTTTACAGGGAGCAGCCATCACACATGGATAAAATCTCCTCCCTAAAAACGGTCCTGGGAGAAATAATGAAAAAAAAAAAAAAAGGAAGATCTCAATGGTGACAGATCCCCCTTATTGACTGCAAACTCCAAAAGGAATCAATATTCAGGTATCTCTGCAACATCCAGAGTCTCCATGCCAGCTAACCCCCTGCAATAAACAAAGCAGCACCTCTCCCCCTGCCCTCCATTTCAATACAACTCAGCACAACAAAAAAAAAATCATAAAATATTTCAAAAATCCATAACAAAAATATGTTGTTAAAAGATCACATTTTATTTTGGCTCCTGCTTTGTTCCCATCACAGAGCTGAGCAGCAGCTCAAGATTAAGCAAGTTGCTGTGTCACTGCCTTGCTGGAGAGATAAGAAATAGTAATATATAAAAGGTGGCTGGAAGATGTGAAGGCAAAAGAAAAAAAAGGAAACCAAGAATAAAAGAGAAAAGGAACTGAAAGTTACAGTGTGGTATATTTTGTTCCCTGGCTTTGGAAGGGAGCTGTGAGAATCACAGGGCCTGTTTCATCTCGTTTCTTATTAAAAATGACAAAACAGGGATCTAACCCAAGTAAAAATAGAGGAAAGGAATAAAGCCTCGAGGGGCTGGGGAGGAGGAGCTGTTGGAAACACGCAACTGGGCCAGGTGAGGCAGAAATAACGCTGCTGGGGAGAGGGAGGGAGCTGGCAATGCCTGGGCATCTCCCATCACCTAAAGCTGGGCATCAAGCCACTCTCAGTGAAACTCAGTGTGTGGCACAGCACTGCAGGTGGACACGAGCTTGTGAAAACCCAGATGGGACAGGCCACTTGTCCCCTGCTCCCCCATGGGACCCCCAGCACCAGCTCTAGCTCAGCCTCTTTGCCAGGAGCTCCCAGACCTTGACAGGATCAGGTACCCTGACACCTCCTCTGCAAGAAAGTGTCATTGCCTGAAGAAGGGCAACACCTTGGAGCTGGCAGGGCTGGAGGAAGCTCAGTTTGGGCTCATCACTCTCCCTGCCCTTTGCAGGGCTCCCTAAAGCTCTTTGTGGGGTGCTTTTCTCACCGAGGCAGGTCTTTCACCGTTTTCCCAAAGTCTGGATCCAATGCTTTCTTGTGGCTGCCATCCTTCAGCTGATGAGCCTCTGACACCCTCATGACGATGTAGCGCTGGGACCCTACATGAAAAATGAGAGGCAAAGGGACAAGGAGTATGTCAGACACAGGGTATGGATGCCACTGAAAACATGGATTTACAGGGGGAAAACACAACATGACATCCTCCCTCCACCAACAGCTGCAAGGGACAAGCAGTAACAGGCAGATGGGGTGAAATCCATTTAGGAATTCCAACTTAAACAGAGGAAGCTTTGCTCCCATGTCCCTTCTCTAGACACGCGCAGGAGGATGGATGGAAGCCCCAGGGCGAGAGGAGCACTGTGCAGTGCCAGTCCCAAACCCTGAGCCCAGGAAGGAGCACTGTGCAGTCCCAGCCCCAAATCCCAAGCCAAGGAGGATCCCCTGTACCTGGGAGGCGCTGGGGATAGCCCAGGATGGGGATGGAGATGAGGAGGGAGGCAGCTCCAGCCCCCAGGAAGCCGATCCACCAGGCCCCCACCCACAGCGTGTTCTCGGGGGCCATGTCTGTCCTGCAGGAAGAGAAGGCAAAGGGACAAAGGGACAGAGGAGATGGTTGGGGACAGAGCAGGGCAGCCCTGTGGGTCTCGCCCTGAGGCTGGCAGGGGCCAAAGGGTCATGGGGGTGACAGCAAAGGACACTGAGTGATCTGATGGGGATGCCATGTCCTCCATCCCTCCTGCCTCAGCACAGCACACCACGAGCCCAGGAAATCACACCATTCTCATAATTCACCTCACTGCTTTTCAGCTGTGCTTTGAGGGTTTTCAAGATCATTGCTCCACCCCAAAAACACCCTTTGCAAGAAAATTGGTGGAAATAACTCATTTCTCCCCCAGGAAACCCATTCCCCCTTTTTAATCCATTCATCTGGTCTAGTAAATGGTGTCCCTGCCTAAGGCAGAGGGGTTGGAACTAGATGATCATTAAGGCCCCTTCCAACCCAAAGCATTCTGTGATTCTGTGATCTACCAAAGAGCCTGGAAGGAAAGAAGAATAAATCACAAATATTACAAAGCAAGGAGGGACTAAGCATCCTGGTGGGATGGCTGGGAGGGCGAGCAGCACTGCTGGGAGCACCACCTCATCAGGGAACTCATTCAAAAAATCCACCTGCTGCTCACAGCCTCATTAGCACAGGCAGTGCAGCGTGAGGAAGGATTTAAGCTGACAGGTTTGTCAGCAATTTCCCCTCAGCAGCAGCACTAATGCAAACCACCCTTCCAGCCTCCCTGTCTGCACACACACCACCCAACACCCCAGGCACACGTCCACCCAGCCACCAGATCATTGCTCCAGATCATTGGTATTATTTTTTTTTCTACCCCAAAGGAAACATAGAGCAGAAAGGGAAAGGAACAAGATTTTTTTTTAACGACTTACTCTCTGCCAATTTCAGTATAAATATTTAGAAACATTCCTCCTACCAGATAACCCGCTGCAGGCCCAAGGATTGCAGCAGTGTAGAAAACAGCTGAAAGGGAAAACAAGTCCTGTTAGACAACGTCAGCCAGGGATCCCCAGTGTGATTCCCTCCTGGATACAGGATGCTCAGCCTCTGGCTGCCTCACACCCTTCCCACTAAACCACCAAGACACAAACCCAGATCATTCCAACAAGTTTTCCTGTCATGCTTCTGTTCCAGGAAAGCTTTTGCATCCAACCTGTGAAGTTTTATAGTATGGGACAGGTAAAACTGGTTCAGAATTAAACCATATTTAGCAGGGATGCTGCTGATCCCATTGCCACATCCTGACTGCCACAGCAATGAGCAGCAGGATTCTCTCCCCACTGACAACACAAAATGTCTACACTAAACACAGCACCACTGGCACTTATTTCCGTTTGCTGTTTAAACCATGACACATGGAAAGATCAACTTGCTGATGATCTCCTTGTGATCTCCTTCCCACACTACACAGCCTTCTGATACTGCATGGGCAGACTGACACGTTTTGAAATTGCTAGAAGATCGCCCTTTTGGCACTTTCACCAACAGGCCTGTGAGTGTTTGGCAGCTGCTGAGTGACCAGTGATGCAGAGGAGTGAGCTGAGCCTCTTCTCCTGGCTGTGCTTTGCTCCAGCAGTAGCTGAGCAGCCCAGCGACCATCCCTGCTGTGCTGAGGCCTGAAGGGATGATGATCTAAAGATTTACATCAGATATAAATTACGGTGATAAAACACTGGCACAGGCTGCCCAAACAGGTGGTGGATATTCCATCCCTTGACAAGGTCAGACTGGATGTGTGTCTGAGCTGACTTGGTGTCCCTTCTCATTGGACTAGATGACCTTCAAAGGTCCTTTTGCCCAAACCATGCTGTGATTCTATGCCCCCTTGCACAGATATGGGGTATGGCCTCATGGCTGTCTGCCAGTGATGCTAATGCCACATGGGCTGGCCCCGTGCCAGGAGCAGGAGGCACTGCCCACCTACAGGGCACAAGCTGTGGGAGGAAAAATACCCAACTGAGCTCACAGTTTTCCTCCTGGTAAATAATCAAAACAGCCGCCACATCCCTCTGAGTTCCACCTTGCCCCTCAACTGGAAGAAAAGGCTGGGCAGTGTCAGGAGAGGTGCTCACAGTGTGGGGTTGGGGTCTCTAGCTGGTCAGAGTGACACCAAGATAAATTAGAAAGTCTCTTTTCCCAGCCTGGCGGTCAAAGAAGGAGTCAGAACTCTTAATTTCTGGGTCTCAAGGTTGTTTATGGTATCTTATCTATAAAATTCTTTCTCCTGACCTGCCAAGGTCCACTCAGCAGGACAGTCAGAGGCACTCTGCCTGCCCTCGGGGCGGTGTTATCTTTTTATACTAAAAACTACGTGTACAATATTTACAATTACTTTCCAATACCTATCACCTATGTTAGACAGTGAGCTTGGCAATTGTTTTTTCCAAGGGCTCAATCAAAGGCACGGGGGTCTTGGGCTCCGTGCCAAGGTCTCTGAGCCCCCTGCCAGGGTCTCAAGCCCTCCAGGGCAGCCAGAGGAATTTCCTGGGTTCCCACAATGATGAAGGACCATGGCCTCTCCCTCCCACCATCCTGCTGCTAAAGGGCTGGAGCTGCCCTTCTGTCACAGCCATCTTTTATGAAAAATCCTTTCCTTAGGATTTTTCCTCCTGAGAAGCTGAGAGGCCTCAGGAACAAAATGTAAACACTGATTATCTGCTGCTGTGGAATGCAACAGGTGGATCTTTGATTGGCCCATGTTTGTTGTTTCTAATTAATGGACAATCACAGTCAGCTGGCTTGGACAGAGAGTCTGAGACAGCTGCCTTTGTTATCATTCTTTCTTTTTCTATTCTTAGCTAGCTTTCTGATGAAATCCTTTTTTCTATTCTTTTAGTATAGTTTTAATATAATATACATCACAAAATAATAAATCAAGCCTTCTGAAACATGGAGTCAGATCCTCATCTCTTCCCTCATCCTAAGCCCGCTGTGAACACGGTCACACCCCTCAGCCCCACTCACCAATGTACACAGGGGAGTAGTTGGTCTTGACGTTCTCATCCAAGTAGGTGACGCCGAGCGTGTAGAGCGGCGTGGCTCCCATGCCGTGCAGGAACTGCCCCAGCATGAAGACAAACCTGTAGCCAGAGAGGCTGGAGGCGGCCTGGGAGCAGGGCAGGCTCT